TTGGACTCCTGTGCATTGACTCTTCTCCATTGTTCTTTGGCCTAAGTTCAAGAGATGGTTATCTAAAATTTGCAGACCAACCATTCTGGACACACTGATGCTACTAGTGACCTGTGCTCAGATTGGCGTTAACGAGACGGGTGACACGTGATTCACAGAGGTCAAGTAACCAGATGACCTCTGATCGTCACTATGGTGACGAGTTTGTCATGTCATTTCGCGGTTCACACACCACATGACAGCTGTTGGTTAGGTTAAGCTGTCTTCATCTTTACGCGAGTCACGTGACAATCAGCCTGTGAACGAACTGGATACCCTCTAATCGCGACACAAGAAAGAATGGGTTCAACGCTTGTCCGACCGGTGCAAAATGCTCGATTAGACAAGACCAGAGAAAAGAAAGAAAGCGTTCAGCTGTAGCACCCTTCCGGTGCCTAGCTGCCATGCCACACGAAGGAAGCACGAGGGCTGGGATACTGCCAGGTTGCTCAAGCCTAGACAGGGGAAGTCGAGTGGCGGAGGACGGATTCGAACCACGGACCTTCCGGTCAGTAAATTCGCGCTCTAACCACTTGGGCCAGAATGAGGTTAGGAATAACTATCAAAACCACTACATCTGTGTTTGAGGGTCATTAGCTGAACGAAAACGAGAAACTATTTGAAAGTTGGCAAGCCAGAAAGAATAAAATCTGTAGCTCAGCCATTTGGGAAAGCCTTGGAGCCCATCGAGAAGTCCTCTTTCCGTAGAAGTACGGAAGAGAGATTTTCGCTGAGCAACGTTTCCCTTTTGATATAAGAACCTCATCAGTTCGTGAAGTTTTGACGCAGTTCGGGAACCATGCAGCAAAAGAATTTGCCAATAGTGGGATAGCTACGTGCATTCCAACCTCCACTATTGTCTACGTACTTGCGATGGTTTGTTTGAATGATGTGAAAACAACGAGTTGTCGTAAATTTAAGCCATAAGAAATTACCACGTTCTCCAAATGCCCGTCAAATTTGGACAGTGTTGTCCTGGAATGATTAGACCTACCAGCGTTATACATCACTGGTATGTGGTGTTTGTTCACCCCGGCTCATGCTGCCCCACTAGGATCTACATTCTCGCTTACTTGGATTTGATTCCGGTCATCCACAGCTTACTGATTGGTGGTGCCCCTGAGGACTCTTTGTTCGCAATTTCCACGAGCGTGAGTTACATCTCTTAGGACAACCGGCCGAATTCCTAAACCGCTGAAGCCTACTGGGCTTGGTGTTCTCATAGGTGTGTTTCGGAACGTGCCGGTTTTTGAAAACTCTTCGATAGCCAACTAACTGTTTCCACCTTCTTGGGGCTCATCATTAGACCCCGGGTTTTCGTCGACCTCATGTTCTACTTGAGCCCAAATTCGACTGATTTCGTCAACTACACTCATTTCCTTTATAAAAATATACTGAGGCATCTCGAGTATGGTACCAACTGGAACATGATAAGGCTTTTGTGCAGCACATTCAGTTGGGGGATTTCACAAACGAAAGATTCAGTTGAGTCTCGCGTGAAATCCAAATTGATATATATATATATATATCACTGAAGTAGGAGGCAGAGTGCTCGTTTACGCCCAAAGCAAATTCTTTCTCACGCAGCTGTGCTGTAGAATATACTGGATGTAAAATGCGGTAACTCAGTCAAAGAAGAAAGGATTGGTCAAGGTCCATTTTCGGGTTGTGAATTCAAACAGATACATATTTTATCACCCATTACATTGACATTTGAAATTTCCCACGTTTCTTATGCCCATATTTGTAACCCCCGCTCCACTTTTGTCTTTAGTGCGTGTGTACGAGCTGACGTTTGTTCGTCCCTAGCATTCTACTAATTTGACCTTGAGGTCATCCAGCCATTTTATGGCCGATCTTATGCACGTGCGACTGTCTCACGTGGGAGCCTGTTTGTTCATTCGGCTCGTACTTTTCTAGTCCAAGTGGATTATTTGTAGTGGACGAGTTTACACTGTCGAGGTTGGTATATTTCGTGAATTGGTGCCTTACATTAATAGTACCGTATAGCGACCCAGCTCCGACTTTGTTTGGCCTTCTAGGCGGTTCTGGTATCGCGCATCAATCGAAGATACTGTCTGGCTGTTACACACAGTCTTTTACCGTCCGATTGGGACCAACTTAGTCGCCACAGTTTAGTTCTCAAGTCGACATAACGTCATTGACTCTTCACAGGCTTCGCTGTCTCGCAGTCGCAAAAGCGACCAGACGAGCTGAACCCGTTGACTGCCAGTGGTGTTGGTTTGTCATCCTGGCCCGGAGTAGTGAGTTCAGCATAGTAACTCCAGTGCTCCCAGGCGCCAGGACGAGAATGAGTAGTAGCGTGGGAACCCGACCAGCACTGAATGACTCACTGACAGATGGTTCCAGTCACATCAAAGCGAGCAGATCCCAAATCCTACGGTACTACGATAACGTCGGTTATCACGCGACAACATGATTGAACTCAAATGCCGGCTCCAAAAGGCGATCGCCAATTAGGATAACATACATGGGCGTCTGGCAGAGTCGTGAACGGAAACGAATCAGTGGAGGAGAAGAGCAAAGAAGGCCAGTATCTGACGGGTTAGAACAGAGTGAGACGGATCGCACTGGGCTATTGGCCCGTTGACCCAAGAACACATTAGTAAACAAGTCTGATATTTGATCGATCCGACTGGTGGGAATTGGGGGGTTAAGCCGAATTGATTTAGAAACCAAAAGGGGATTAATACAACAGGTGTGAAAGAGTACAAAACAGACCGGGTCGATTGAGGTGAACATCAAAGCCAGAGGTTCAGCTGGGTTCCGGGTGCGTCTCCCGAGTGGTTCGTAAATGAGTGTATTACACTTAGTTCGTGCAATTTGAGTTCAAGCGTAATTTTGACGGAAACTCGTGGACTGCGCCTATCTGATAAACCCCAAGAGGGGTGAAACCTGTCGTGGGCTGTCGAAGAAGTTTCAACAAACTTGTATCGCGATACCTCGAATATCGTACCAACTGAAACATCAGGTGGTCTGGTGCAGCACGTTCAGTTGCTTCAGAACATGAAAAGTGAGAGATTCAGCTGGGTTCCGGGTTCCAGCGAAACATAATAGGTTAGCAAATGAGCGTGTTTCATTAATCATTCTTATCTGCCCGTCACCGACTCGTGACTTCAGATCTTCGACTACTGATCCTTTTTTTCACATCACCGTGATTGGTCTGTCTGCCCTGCCGACCACTTATTGGATTTAGCAACTTGGCCACGCTTGCAAATTCAAAACCGTGTTCACTTTTTCCACAGAATCAGTCATAAATGGTCTACTCGTCCAGAAATGTTTTGCGCACCGGTAGCTCATCCGGCACACCACAAAATCTGAGAGTGACGAACCGGTAGCGGCAGTATCTATTACCAATTTATGTTGGTAACATCGATGCGACTGGCTGCACCAACACTGCGCAAATAGACCTGATCGGAGTGAGTAAATTAATTATCTGAAAAAGAGGCTATCTTTGCGGAACGATGATGAACCTGTCGAACTTTTTTCGCGTTATCCACAGATTCTCATTCCAAGGTTCCCCCTCTTACTAACTCTCAAACACAAACAAAGAGGGGAGAGATTCACCCGTGACTCTCTCAACTCTGTAGATCAAAATAAGCCATTACTCATTGGTCCCGATGGCCGGTTATGAAGGCCTCAGTCTAGTCAGGCCACTAAAGAACTCCTTGATTGCTAAGGCTGCATACACCATGCAATGGAAGTTGCGCAGTGTCTAGTTTCTCCCTCTGAAAGAGTCCTTACTCATAACTGACCTCAATAGCAACATTCTGATGAGTTACTTGCTAGTTAGTATTTATATACGAATATACACCACATAGTCGAAGTGAATCCACTTTTCACTACTTAAATATCAAACTACACAAGACCTCACCTGTTGTACGGATGAGGTCCTACTTTCTGGTCACAATCTTGAGATGACGCCAAAGTTCTCCTGTTGATCATGAAGTTCTTTCATGTTTTTTTTTCAGCTTTGCATCCCGAGTGGAGACAAAACATGTGAAATTTCAGAGAGGTTTGGTACTTGGCAACGTTTTGCTTTTGACAAAAAGAGCTTCGCTAGGTCAGGTGAGTAAGTTTTAGGGCAGTCAGGAAACTAATCCGTGAGATTTCTTATGACTTCCCGACTTGATCTGTGTTGAGTGTCGGTCTAAAGTTCGTGTTTATTGATTAGTTTGAATGACTGGTAGATAGATTGGATAGATTTGTTAGGGATCATCTTCATGTTGCATCCGGTCTTCGGCCCCTGCTTTTCCGGTCTTTACTATGACTTTCAAGATTCACTCTTCACAATAAAGCTAACATTCCATTGGAATAGGAAATGAGCAAAGCACACATTCAAAGGGATGCAGTTAATTTCTGGTTAGCACTTTGCCCCGAAAGTGTCATTTATTCTACACACATCCAACCAACCAACTTTCTCGGTAGTTACTTCAAATGAACTGAAAAACGGTGAATCACAAATAAGAAGAGAGGACGCGTCAAAGTGATCACCTCAGAAGGGCTTGGTAAGCAATCGGTAGTTTTTTTTACTTCGGCAACGTTTCGTTTTTGACACGAAAGCTTCATCAGGCCATATGAGAAGATCACCAACTTGGCCAGGTTATAAGACACACGGGGAACAAATCAGTAAATCAGTCCTCTTCAGATTATCACACTAGATCAGTGTTGAGTGTCAAGTAACGGCTCTTGTCGGTTAGTGTGGTTGCCAAAATCTCGAATTGATGGGTTGGAGGAGTTTCAAATTAGCTCCGATCGGCTCTTGTTCCTTTACCTTCCACTTCAGGGCGCTTCAATTGATGATTCACTGCGGGTGCCGCTGGTAGATTTTCCTTGTTCTTCGTTGTGTGAGTGTTGCGGCGAGTCAGTTGGAAGGAGAGGGTGTGTGGGTGAGGTAATGTAGAATCGAGATGATGATAATCGCACACCGACTGATTCAGGACCGTTCTTCACACGCTTGCCGGTTCCACGCCTGCTGTTCTGTTAACAGTGAGATGCTTGGCGATTTCTATCGCCTCGGCTATCAGTCTCTGTGACGTGAACCGTAGTCCTCACCTGAAAAACTCAACAGTTTCTAAATCTATTTTGTGTCCCGTGTCTACACAATTGCCCAGTATTTCAGTAACGCTGGATATTCATCTGTGTTTCTCAGCGGCCTGTTTATTTTCCACTTGTGCTCTCCGATTATGGTGTGAAGTTCCCTGGCCGTCCTTCCTATATAGACCTTTGTACAGCCGTTACGCTTAATTTTGTAGACAGTCCCTGGTTCTGTTTGCTGGTAGGCGATCCTTCAATTGCGCCAGTGCTCTAGAGCGCTGGTGCTATGTTAACCGTGTTTAGAATCCTTCGAATGACCTCCGATGCGCCTGGTTTATATGAAATAACAGCGCTCCCGATCCCTTTCGGGTTTCACTATCCTTTGCAATTGACGCCTAATCAAGATAGTTGGATATCCAGGCTCAGAGTGACCCGAGAATCAAGAGAAGATAAAACTAGCCTTCTAGGGTCACACAAAGGGCCAACGGATTATGAATTTTTGGAAGTAACAGTACATTCTTCCATCGCTTCGTACTATCGACATCCACTAATCTAAGTTTCAGTATGCGTACCAGTTATCACACGTGTGCAAGTCACCATCAACCATCATCAGTCTAGTCGCCTGAAGCATCAGTATTTGTGTCGAAATGGGTATTAGTTACCCGGTCAACAAGTCAAAACTGCGAGCAGCTTCGCTCCTGCGTTGTTGTGACCTGCATGATGACCTTAAACCTTCACGTGACGCACACGTGCGCGCACGCACTGTTGAACGAGAGCACGCAACAGTTGAATTGTTGGCTTCCTTGCTAAGGCAGTTATGCTGGGTCTGTCAATGCACAGGGCGACTGGAAATAAGAAGGAATATGAGTTTTACAGATGTGAACCGAATGTGTGAGGTCTGGGAACAAATTATGTGCTTAGACGATTCACGCGAGTTGACCGCGTGGCAGTAGTTATCTTTGAAGGAGCAGTTGGGAGCCATTACAAAAAAACATTGGTATTTGGTGTATCACCTCTGAAAAATAAACATTCAGTGTGCTTTTAGCCAAGAAGAAGTCTTGCTACTGACTCGTTACGGATACAAATAAACGGTTTACTGACAAAGTGAGCTCACTTCTACTAAAGTCATTTATTTACCTATCCTAGAATATGAGTTCGGTTAGCTTTAGGTATGCCTAATATGTTCGGGGTGACATATGGCATGACGCAACGGAAATCCATGAGCCATGGGTACACAAATGTCTCTAGTATTTGTCTCCAATATGTATTGGACAAAACTTCATACTTGTTCTTTCCATGGGTTTCCAAAGTCCGTTCAGTTCTGTGCAGTGCTTTTAGTTGGCGTCCATTTCAAATTCATCAAGCCTCATGATGTGTTGCCAACTGTGTCCTGACAATTGTGCGTGGTTCGATTTTCTCACGAAAGTTTGGATACAGCTACTCCTGGTTCTCTTTGATGTTTCCAACTTCTGTCAGTGAATAGATTTGGGCGGCAAGTGTCATCTGAACCAAACCTGTTCGCCAGGTATCGTTCTTGCGAAAATTGGTTCCTTTGAGTTTGTTTTACAAACTTCGAGGGGTACTTGTTTCTTCTTAGCTATTTCGACTCGGTGATTTTTCTCATAGCAACGGTAACTGTGTTCATGACGGGTTTGGTGCCATGCGTGTAAACTAAGCGTCACACTTTATACGATTTTTGTGTTCCTGAAGCAGTCAGTGGTCAACATTCCAAAAGAGTTTGGGTTTTTGAGAGACATTGGCGCAAGCAACCGTTCCAAACACAAGATGGAATTTTAAATTCTTGATGTTCAAGTTTAAACTTCCTTTTTTCAGTAATTTATCGGATATTTCTCTTCCGGAACTCTCTGTTATGCAGTTCACTCTGTTGATATTGATTAAAGTAAAAACAGTTTTTCATCTGATTGTTGCTGTGCTAGGGTAGTTTAGTCTTAAATCTGATAGCAGACGGTCCTTCAATCTCATAAAAGTTCATCGAAGTTGATTACAGAACAGCCACTTTCCAATATGGCGACTGCTCAGAATTAGAGTTGTTCAGCTTCGAATTTGACAGATACACTGATCAAAGTCAAAGTCCATCAGACCGACAAGTTGGTCTGTGCTTGGTTCCTGTTGAGATTGTGCGCTGATATTGAAGTTGCATCTTAGAAAGTTCTGAATTTGAATTATCTTGAAGCTTCATTCACAAACGAACATTAGGATAGGCCCGATAAACCGAAGCTGTATTCCGTAGTGTCAATTCATGTATGTCTGGCGAGCATTGGCGAAGTAATGGCTTGTCTCATAAAGTACAAGTTCCAGATTCAAATTCCGCAATGACCAAAGATATGCAGTACTGACGAGCTCCAATATGAGCGAGTTCCTAGTTTGGTGCCTCACTGATTTGGTGAAAGAGGACTGTGGGCAAGGACTGTTCGAACGAGCAGCACATCGCGTGGTAATTGAATCAACCGGCTATGACTTTGTCAGTTTTTTCTGTCTGTACGCTATACTGTTTGTTAGAAATTTTGCCGAGAAAAAAGTCAATGAATTCGTTGCCAACATCCTGTTCTCCAGTAGTATCCGCTGGGGCGGCTTTCATTGACCGAAAGTCACAAGAATCACGTGTCACATTCATCAATGTTCCTGAAATGTTGTCATTCACAAGCGATGTTAAAAGTCCAGTTGAATTGCGAATTGTGGGCAGCGGATTCGATATCCGCGCATACAGCGATCGAAACAATGAGCGAATATGAACTTTTTAGGTGAAAAGAAACGAGTAGCAGTATCGTTCCGAAAAAGTTGACTTTTTCAAACACAATCCGATTGGGAGGGGAATCTTTTCGCGATTCCTTACATGTGCCACTTGGTGTGAAAACAATTCCTCTATAGTTGTATCCGAGAGGAATTTGTGACAATCAGTATATTAGACGCTATTGATCTACTCCTGGGTATATCAGGAGGATATGTAATGTTGAGTTTACATCTGGATACGAAACAAACGGTGACGCGTTATTCAATAACATCATTCTGATAACGCCTGAGTGTCTTATTCGCACTCAGTGCTTGTCCTCAGTGGTGAAGGTGACAACATGATCCAAGCGATCCAAGCATGAGCATCTGCTGAAAAGCCTACTACAGAGGTGGGTTAGTAACGAAACCAGGACCTTCGAGTTTATGAACGAATTTGAGGTGTTACGTTCAACGAAACAGGCAGCTAGAACTAATTCGGTTTTACGGCCAGAACAAGTCTGAAGTAGCTGTGTATGGTGTAACGCGTGTGCACAACACCTCAAAGGTGCCGAAACGACGTATCTTTTCCCAATGGCCAACTCAAATTTCACCTCACCTAACTATCGGAAATATCACCAGAAAGTTACGGAAAGTAACGGAATATGGAAAGGATCCTTCTGTCGTTACTGTGTGCCTCAATCCCATCGGCTTCCTGCTATCACGCACAAGGCCGAAACTCACATGCCTCCACAGAAAGTTTCAACTCCTATCGACTACCGAATACGGCTCTGTGGGTGGTGTTGTTTCTCACATTTAGCTGAACTCTACATGTACCCCTACGGTCACTACCACGCTGCTAATTTAATGTAGTACATGGAACATCACGTGATTTCATCAGGCGTGCTCATTTGCTTTTCCTCATGAGATATTTGGATATGTGAGTAGTAGTCAGTTTGTGGGACGCAAAAGACGCGGTGAAAACTCATTGGAAGTAGAATCATTTGAGCCGTCAGGCCATTGTTTTTCTTCATGGAACCCGGGGAGAATATCGACAGAAGTAGCCTTAGTCTCATTAGGTGAGAACCTTACAAGATTCTGGAAATTTTGAGCAATGACCGACACAAGTATAGGGATCTTCTCTAAAATGATATGCAAAGTTGGGTTTCCTTAGCCTTGGTGAGCTTAGGATGCCGTGTATGGAATACACTGTAGAATATATCGACTGTTTAAATTTGGTTCTTTTGAGTTCTGTTAAACCTTCAAGAATGAGATCATTCGCTTCCAGTAAGTGCCAGAATTAAATATCAGCAGTGAGTTAGTCATCCCTGGAAATCTTTCCTCCCTTCCTCTAGCTTGATTGCATTGTATTTGGATATCAAGGACCAGCAGATTCCCACATATGGACAGTACTAGAGTATTACAAAAGCTCATTTATTGCACAGCCTTTTGTGTTAATATCCCGAGCACAAAAAATAGGTCGCCTTCTAGAAAAATGATATTCGGGTCGCTTTTAGGGAGTTCGTCTCACTGCTGGTGTTTTAAAGTTTCATCACCGAATAGCTTAGTGTAAATTGTTATTTGTTTTCTACAAATACATATGAATTTGGTTTTGACGGGCAGCTCACCTGAAACCCAGCTAAATATTACGTGTATCATTTCCTTAAGCAGCTGACTGTGCTGCACCAGGTCGTACATTCAGTCGCTTAACAAAATTGGAAACGAGTGATTCAGCTGGGCTCCAGGTGAGTATCCCGTTGTCAGGACGGTCAGCTTCCTGAAGATTATCCCGGAATACTGAAAACCTACAGAGAACCTCAAACTCCACTGAGTGCCAATCAGGCAACTCTATATCAAGGTCAAACTGTACAAGGCCATCGTAATTTCTCACTCGCCAGTTTGTAATAAAGCTATTGTGTTCCTTGTCGGCGAGTTTTTCTGTCACCAAGGCACGGGAGCGAATATTTGTCGAAATCTGTCCAAGTTCGATTCAAGTGGAACATAAGGTTGACGGAAACTCGAGAACTGCACCTACCCTAATGAGCCTCAAGAAGTGTGAAACCGATCGTGGGCTGTCTAAGAATTTTCAACAACTTTATTAGTGGTGTATTACGTCTATACATGCATCGTGATATCTAGAATATCGTAACAGCTGAAACATGGGATGGCCTGGTGCAGCACATTCAGTTGCTTAAGAAAATGAAGGATGAGAGATTGGGCTGGGTTCCAAGTGAACCTCTTTTCAAACCAAACTGACATACAACTGAGTATATTTGTCGAAATCCGTCCATTTTAGTTTAAAGTAGAACATAAGGTTGACGGAACTACGCCTAACCTGACGAGTCCCATGAAGGGCAAAGCCGGTTATGGGCTGTCGAATAGCTTTCAGCAACCTTATGACTAGTCTATTAAGTCTATTATTTGTTC